TTCATTCATTCATTCTTTCAGTCATTCATTCATTCATTCTTTCAGTCATTCATTCATTCATTCTTTCAGTCATTCATTCAGTTATTCATTCAGTTATTCATTCTTTCATTCATTCATTCTTTCAGTCATTCATTCATTCATTCTTTCAGTCATTCATTCAGTTATTCATTCATTCATTCTTTCAGTCATTCATTCAGTTATTCATTCTTTCAGTCATTCATTCTTTCAGTCATTCAGTCATTCATTCAGTTATTCATTCTTTCAGTCATTCAAGCTTTATTTATCCAGGTTAGTCTCAACTGAGTCACGAGGACTCATTTACAAGAGAGGCCTGTTTTAGACAAAGTACAGTAAAAATGCAATTAATAAAAGTAGTGTTATAAAACAATAAATCAAGGTGCAATTAAACAAGATAAAATACTAAAAACAAGAATAAAACTAAACCATAACATTAAAAAACGAGAATTAATGATGGCTATTATTCTTAAGAGTTGTTACCAAATATTAAGCATTTTTATTTTGTGAAACAGATTTTTTACACTTGTTTTTCTTTTTAAACAAAATGTTGTTTTTTTTTTTTAACTTTTTAGATGAACAGATTTTCTTCTTCAGCCTCTGTGTATATTTACTTGGTGCTTTTTCAGTATAAATGTATTAATCCTGTGCTGTTTACACAACCGTTAAATAAGCTAACTTAAATCTACACTTGTGAAGCGTTTTTGTTTTAAAAAGAAAATATTAAATAATATTTGAATGTTGCCTACCTGATTCAACATGGCTGCCACAGATAGTTTACTTTATAAACATTAAATAGTTATAACGCAGTTATCTTTTAAATAATTAACTTCAGTGTGGTAGTAGCTGAGAGTTATTCCCAACACATACTTCAAGCTCTAAGAAACTTTGTGATATCTTTGTTTTAAATTTTGTCATGTAAGGTGCTGGGTGTGCATTCCTTTAAGGAATGCTATGCAAGTCCAATATAAACAGTTTGACCTCTCAGCAAAACCAAATGTAATGTGAGACTTTCTTCTTTCTTTTTGTAGCTGAAACTGAGCTGGGCCTATAGTGCAAATTAGGAGTTTTAGTTTGTAGGCAAACTTATGCTTCCAGGTTTAAAAGTTTGATTTCATGTTATCTAGGATTTCCTCAGGAATGACTCTGTAGTTGATGCTTAAGCAGGTTATCAGTTCAGCTTAGGTTACCATTGTGATTTAACAGGTTTCTAAAAAAGTGTTCCTTTGATGATTCTGGAAACAATCCCATTAGGCCCAGTACAGCTGGCTAAATTGTTAATCTTGCTTCATTGTAAAAGCCCTCTGAAAAGAAAAATATGTTTTTGTTTCTTGCAGATGTCCAGAAGCTATTAGAGGTCAAAAATGAGTTTTTCCCTGAGCAGAATTGGAATCCTAGACTGGACCAGAAGCCCCCACGGATTAAACAGGAAGAGGAGGAGGCTGATATCACTGAGTTCATTTCCTGTCCTGTCCCAGTAAAGAGTGAAGATGCAGAAGAGCAGTCTCCATCCTCAGAGCTTCATCGCAGTGGGACTGACGCAGTCAGAGGCTCTGTTGGAGCAGATCCTGAAGATCAAACCTCAGACTCTTCAGAGACGGATGTCAGTGATGGACACTGGGAGAGCAGTGAATCTGAGTCAGATAAAAACTCTGAGAAAGGTAATGAACACTCTGTAGCTGGTGAGAATAAGGAATCGCACAGCTGTCCAGAATGTGGGGAAACATTTAGTCTTAGAAAATATTTAATAAGGCATCAAAGAATTCACACAGGAGAGAAACCTTTTCGTTGTTCTCTCTGTAAACAAGTTTTTGTGTATAAACATGCTCTGACAATACATGTGCAAAATCACAGTGAGGAGAAACCTTTCAGTTGCGCCGTTTGTGGTCAGAACTTCAGAAGGAAGGGATGGGTAACTCAGCACATGAGACGTCACACAGGAAGAAAACCTTACATGTGCGAAGTCTGTGAAAAGGCTTTTGTGTGGAAACAAGATTTAGTCGAACACACAAAAGTCCACGCGGATGGAAAACATTTCATCTGCTCCGTCTGTAGTGCACCTTTTTTAAGTGAAAGAACTCTAACAGAACACTCGAAAATCCACAGTGGAGAGAAACCTTTCAGCTGCCATCTTTGTTCAGTGGCTTTTATAAGAAACAGCGTTTTGAAGCAACACATGAGAACTCACACCGGAGAGAAACCGTTCAGCTGCTCGGTCTGCAGCCGAAACTTTAGCTTCAAAGCAAGTCTTCATCAGCACATGAGATGTCACACAGAAGAAAAGCCGTATGTATGCTCCGTCTGTAAGGCTGCTTTTAAATGGAAACAGGCGTTTGTGTATCACACGAGGATCCACACGGGAGAAAAACCTTTCAGCTGTTCCGTCTGTGGAGAAGCTTTTAAAAGGAAAGAAGAATTGGTCCAACACGCAAAAATCCACAGCGAAGCAAAATTCATCTGCCAGGTCTGCAGTCAGAGCTTCACTGCGGCCGTTCGTTTAACTCGTCACATGAGATTTCACGAAGGTGAGAGACCTTTCAGCTGCTCCACCTGTACGGCAGCTTTTCATAGGAAATGTTCTTTGACAAAGCACATGAGGACACACACAAAAGAAAGACCTTTCAGTTGCTTTGTGTGTAAAGCAACTTTTAAAAGGAAAGACAGTGTAAAACCACACATGAGACTCCACACTGACGATGAAGCATACACCTGCAGGGGCTGCAATAAACACTTCTGCCAGCTGTCGTGGGCCAAAGCACATCGGCAGCGCTGTCCAGGCGGCAGCAAGGAGCTGAGCTGACATTAAAGCTGCTGTTTGGAAACTGATCCACAGATGGACGAGTGCAACTGTACAGAAATCACAAGAATCCTGTAGCCCACCACTGGCCAAAATCTAATGAAAGTTGCATCAAGTAATCAGTGGATGCACAGCCATAAGTGATTAACTTATAGAGTCTTCCTGATTGAACATGGTAGCTACAATCAGCTGATCTAAAAAACACAAAAGTAGCTGAAACTCAATCACTTGTACAGATACTGGGCTAACATTTGTTGTGGTAGTATCTGAGAGTCATTAACAAACATACTCAAGTACTAGTCGGTGCATGAGTTATTAAAACGTCAGCATTAACTGTTGGAACCCCCTGTTTGAATCAATTTTGAACACGTTTGAACATTAATTAATCATTTGTTACATTATTATTAACACTTGAATGAATTAGACACAGCAGTGGGTCCATTTTAAGGCACACCTCAAACCCACTCTTTCATTGTGTGACATCATGTGAATTTTTTTTTTTTTTTAAGGAACTGCAATGAAGGTGATATGAAGGACTGACCGTCCCTCCCTGCAGTCTTATCTTTGATGAGTCTGTCCTCAGACTTGCTCAGGGGTGCTGTCTGACCCTGCTCACATCCTCAACTAACAATACGAACTGTTACCATCTGGAAAACGGTTTAGAGTCTGTGCTTGTAGACTGAACAGATTTAAAAATTAATTTGTCCCTACATCAATCAGATTGTTAAATAAAGTAGGCATATAGTCTTTTGTCATGCTGCTGATGCTCTGGGCTGATATGTTGTTTTGTTTAATTGCTGGAATGTATGTGGCAATGTGCAATATGTGTTTTTATTGAACAATAGGTGTTTTTTATTATTATTATTGTGGTGTTCACATGATTTTATTGTTTGCAGTGTATTTAACTGTGGAAGAAGCTTTGTTTACCGGACGATGTCCAAGACAAATTTCCCCTTGGGGACAATAAAGCATCCATCCATCCATCCATCCATCCATCTATCTAGTTGTTTATTGTTGTATTTAAACAGTTTAGGTTTTCCAGCTTTTACTGCATTTGACATCATTCAGTCAGGTTTGTTCTGTGTCAAATTGGTGCTAAATGCTCTTTTTTTCTTCCCCAATTCAACCTTTATTTAAACAGATAAGTCACATTGAGCCTCGGAGACCCATTTACAAGTGAGATCTGTTTAGACAGACAAAAAAGTAGTGAAACTGAACATATAGGACATTGGAGGCAAAAAACAAAATTCCTATCAAACTCTTCTTGCCTGAGAAAGGCCCTGATAAGGAAGAAAAACAAACACCCCGCAGCACATGGTGGCACAGAGCATTCTGCAGGGGGGGGAGGGGGGGGACAACAAGGGCGTTGATAATGTCCAAGGACGCTCCCAGAGGCACTGAAGGAGTTCCGATAAGGACGGAATAATCAGCCAGTTCTCTCCGGTGAAATCCGTAAACATTCTCGAGGGGTGTCAGGGAATGGCCAAGGACGCCAGTGCGAATCCAATAGTCCTGAAATGATGACGGAATGTTTATTCAGCTGGTTTCCTCAGGTCAAACAAGGGATTTCATCAATCTGAGGGAGGGGGCAGAGCGTCAGATTACATAGCCTCCAGGCGGATTGAGATAATGTGGCCTGCAAGACCAGCCGAGGGAGCCAAATGCAGATAAACAACGTTTGTTTTGAAGTCAGGCAGAACTTTACTGAATTTTTATCTGCCTAGACTGGACTATTGCGATGGTTTATTATCTGGGTGTCCAAGTATTCAGTTAATTCAAAATGCTGCTGCCAAGAGTCTTGTGGCGGTTTACAAAAAAAAGATAAATTATTAAAGAGGAAGAGGAGCAGCAACGCTCTCGCTTTGAGTTTATACTCTGTCGCATGCGTGCTCTGGATGACAAGCGTCCAGAGCGTCACCAGCTGAGGAGGTGTTGGAGTTTCTCAGCAGCAGAGGGAAGCGACACGGTTCAGGCATGGCTCCCCAAATGACAAGACAGCCATATTTGTTCATAACTTTATTATTAGTAAGACTGAGAGTTGCCGGATGAGAATGAGAATAAATGAGAATGGTGCAAAAAAAAAAAAAGAGAGAAAAACTAATCCCTGCCGCAAAATGTACCCCGGGGTCACATGCGCCCACCACCCCGGCATTGCTCCGGCCCCCCCCAATTCAATTTCAATTCAGTTTATTTATATAGGGCCAAATCACAACAACTTGTCTCAGGGCACTTTACAGGAACATTCACACACATAAAAGCCAATTAGTAAAGTTCTAAGGAATCCAGCAGACTCGTTGAATCTTGACTTTGTTGCAGTCTCCCATCCTGAGCAAGCACAGTGGCAACAGTGGAAAGGAAAAACTCCCTTTTAAAAAGAAGAAACCCCCAGCAGAAACAGGCTCAGGACAAGCGGCCATCTGCTTTGACCGGCTGGTTTGAGAGGACAGGAAGGAGAGACAGACGAACATAGAATGGCAGGTCCAGGTGTACCTGAAAGACAAAAAACACATGTTAAGGATAGAAAAAATAATTACAAATGTTGAGCAGAGTAAGTAAAGACAGTAGCAGAGTGAAAAGTGTGGTCAGTTTGTCCTCCAGCAGCCTAAGCATATAGCAGCATAACTAAGGGACAGCTCAGGAAACCCAAGCCGACCCTAACTATAGGATTTATCAAAAAGGAAAGTCTTAAGCCTAGTTTTAAAACTGGATAATGTGTCAGCCTCACGGACAGAGATTGGAAGTTGGTTCCACAAGAGAGGAGCCTGATAACTGAAAGATCTTCCTCCCGTTCTGTTTTTGTAAATTCTAGGAACCACAAGTAAACCTGCAGCCTGAGAGCGAAGTGCTCTGTTAGGAAAATATGGAACAATAAGATCTGTAATATAAGATGGAGCCAGGTTGTTGAGAGCTTTGTAGGTTAGAAGTAGGATTTTGAATTCTATTCTGGATTTGACAGGGAGCAAATGGAGAAAAACTAAAACTGGAGAGATATGATCTCTCCTACTAACTCCAGTTAAGACTCTGGCAGCATTTTGGATCAACTGAAGACGTTTTAAAGAAGTATTTGGACACCCAGATAATAAACCATTTCAATAGTCCAGTCTAGATGTGACATTGGTCTCATGTAGATTCCGAACGTCCAAATTAAGTGGACACACCACAGATTCGTGCCTAAGAATATTCCCCGAGATTTGATCTATCTTGCCAGTGAGTCTTAGGGGCCGCATATGGCCTGAGATTTTCGAAAATCCCATTCAGTTTGCAATCCAGTCTGCTAATCAATAGTCTGGGTGCACGAGACACGGAGCAAACCTTGACATAGGCGGCAGCCTGACCTGGCCAGATTAGTTGCAGCCATCTTTGTTGAATGTTGATAAACCAGGAATAAGACAATTCCAAAAACAGGAAACCTATTATCATAAATCCAATTAAATGCAATTTTGACATCCTCAATCGCAGACTTGTCGTCCGGGCTGTTCAGCTCGCCTGAAGCTTGTCTGAAAAATTTTGTCCATTGCATTGAGAGACCAACTGACTAGATCCACAAAATTACCGTTTGGAAGATATGTAGAGAGAGGCTCAGAAGCAGATTCACAGACCGGACAGAGCAGCAAAGCAAAGCGGAGGAGGGAGAGGAGGGGAAAAGCCTCCACCCTTGGTAAAAGCAAGTGATGAAGTGAAACCAATAAAACCCAGGGAAGTTATTTTCAAACAGAAAGTTGGTAACAGCAGTCCATCCTCCTATCTCATCTACAAATGGTGTTCCTATTGTTTTTGTGGATTCTTACAAATACTTGGGAATCTTGGTGGATGTGCATCTTTCTTTTAAGCTGCTTGTTGGAAACTTGATAAACTAAAATTAAAATTGGGTTTCTTTTTCAGAAATTGATCTTACTTAACTTTGAACGCTAGGAAACGTCTTGTAGCTGCTACTTCTAGCCCTTGATTAGGGTGACATTATTTAAATGAATGCTCCTGCAAGCACCTTGTTGGACGCTGTCTATCATGGTGCGCTAAGATTCATAACTGGTTGTAACTACGATACGCATCACTGCACTCTATATTCATTGGTCAATTGGTCATCAACTTCACGCAGACACTTTCACTGGTACATTTTCATCTTTAAATCACTTTTTGTGCTGTTGCCTTCAAACATCTCCTGCGTGTCACGTCGTCAGTGCAGCTACAGCGTGCACTCTCCAGACTTCATTACGTGCAGCGTCCCCTCAGTGCGGACTGAACTTGGCAAAAAGACCTTTTCCTACTCTGCTCCTGTAACCTGGAACACCTTGTAAAATTATCTGAAGCTGTCAACTTTGACCTTTCTAAGGGATTTTAAACAATTAAGTTCAATGCAAAAATCAGTGCAATCCTGCTTATAGTATTTTACCTAGTTTCATATTGTATTTTTATTTTATTTCATTTTATATTACTACATATATATTTATTTTATTTTATTTTATTTTATATGCATTTTATGGCTGTTTATTGTTGAGTGTACCTTATCTGTGGTTTTGTTTAAAACAGGTCTCTCTTGAAAATGAGTCCTCGTGACTCAATGATACTAACCTGTATAAAGGTTGAATGAAAAAGTATGTGTAAAAAAAGAAGTACATTAAAATGTTATGCCCCCACAAAAGAAAAAAAATAAATAAATAACATGGTCAAGGACATCAGATGACTAAAAAATCATGTTTAAAACAAATAAATGTAAAGGAGTGAACTAAAAACAAGGTGCTTTATATGAAAAATAAAATCCTGTCATGCTCAGTAGTTGGGTTATAAATAAAATCACTTATGTTTTTTATATGTCTGATCAACAAAGATTAAATTTCAAAAACTGAATTTTGCTGTCTCTCAGTGATCAGGTTGCTCAATAATCCTGGTCCGTAGGCCTTTCTGGGTGTAGTTTGCATGTTCTCTCCGTGAATGCGTGGGTTTTCTCCGGGTACTCCTGTTTCCTCCCACAGACCAAAAACATGCATGTTAGGCTGATTGGTAACTCTAAATTGTCCCTAGGTGTGAGTGAGAGAGTGAATGGTTGTTTGTCTCGTTTGTCTCTGTGTGTCCCTGTGATGGACTGGAGACTGTCCTGGGGGTACCCGCCTCTCACACAGTGATGGCTGAACATGGGCACCAGTGACCCCTGTGACCCAAAAAGGAAGAAGCGGGTAAAAGATAATGGATGGATGGAGGAATTTTATCATCTAGAATTTGTCTAAACCTGTCATTAAAGAAAATATCTTTCGGGGAAACAAAGTCCATGCTCAATAATCCAGGTATACAATCCAACATTTTTCAGTCAGGTCATCTGGACAGTTTCTTTGTTGTTGGACTTTGTTGTTTTCAACCAGTTTGACAAGACTGTCAACAAGGAAGAAGGCCGGCAATGGAGGAGGGGGCGTACCAAAGAGACCATCTTATCACAAGCAGAACTGGTTTGTTCCACATTGGAGTAAGCTGTTGGGGGAAGAATCAGTTTTGTTGTGTGTTTCCTTGACTGATGACGCCTTCCGGACCAAAGGCGAAACGTTTCAGCACAAAAAAAAAAAAAAAGAAACTGTCCAGATGACCTGACGGGGTCAGGTCTTCCGGGGTATTTTACTAAGAAATATTTATTTTTAAACAAACAAAAATTAAATGTGGTTATACCCTGAGTTTTAATTACTCAAAGAGTTTACTTCACCTTTTTAAAATTAAATACTAATTCTTCTTAAATTGCATTAGATGGGTCTGAATTCACTGAAATATACAAGTTGCTCTGTGAAGTACTGAAGAACAGTTCCGTTTTAGCTCTTATTTTGAAGGCCAGCTGATAACGGAAATGACTCCCTGCAGCGAGCGGAAGCAGTTCTGTTTCGTACGTACGTCCATGTTTCGTTGGGATATAAGCACTGTTCTTTTCTGCTGCTGGTCATAGTAGTTTAAAGTTATATTCAGCTGTAACAGCTCGGTAAACGTTGATGAACGGAAGAGAAGTGGAGACAGCAGCTTAAACAGCACCTGGATGCAGAGGAGGAAGAAATGTCGGAGGGTTTTGGAAGTAGCGCTGCTCTCGAACAGGAAAAACCTGAAGGAAACCAAGTCTTAGATGCAGCGTTCAGTCCCGACCATAAACTGCATATAATAGGTTTGTATCTTTTTATTATTTTATGTTGAATGTGATTATGTTTAGTTG